TATATTTTCATCGCGAAGAACATTGCAGAATCGCTTCTATGCTTGCTTGCTTCCATTCTCGGCACAAACTGCAGAACAAATACGTTCTACTACTAAGGTCACTTTAGAGCACAACAATCCAGATTCCCTTCAAAATTTCAAATTTTTTTTGCTGAGTTCTGAGACTTGCTCATAGATACTGGGGTTCTGTCAAAGAGCCCTCAGATGAATTTTGAGACAAGCAGAACGCGCTCCTTTTCACCCACTCTCGAGGGCGTAAGAAAGGAAGTGCCCACGTCTCGAAGCTGCTAGTGAATTCAGACCTTCGAAGACAGAATCTGGAAATCGTTGCGAATTTAGAGGGAACCCCCTCATTAGTAACAGAATACTAGATAAAAAAAAGGAAGACAAAAAGACCTATGTAGTTATTGGGAACAGAAAATGATCTTTGAAAACCGTCTATTTTGCAACTTTATACTCGATCACTTTCATGGACGCTATACTTCTTACCTACTCACTGACTGTATCGGCATCGAATGGCCAAAACATTCTATAGTCCATATCGTCTTCGAATCCGCTACGGTTCTGAATGGTGGTCAAATGAATGCGTATGGCGAACACTAAGAAAGGGATTGAGTGGTGCCAAAATTTGGTCCTTTCAATGCCTCTTTAAGGCAAACCCCGGGATTAGCCCGACTAGTAGGAGGGATACCGCGAGGGAAATTGTAAGGTCCGTACCTACCTAGATCACTCCAGCTTCGTCGCAAAATTGCGCGGTTAGGGCGCTAATCCTTACGGGCCTGCAACCATCGACCCCCGTTGCAACGCTTCCCACCCACCGCGAGATGGTGAGATCAGCGTGCTCTCTCGAACGACGTGCTCTCTCGCGTATTTTGTCTTCTTTGACCGCCCTGTCTCGCCATCGTACCACATCCGACCTTACTTGAAGGTTAAGGCCTTAATTTCAGCGTTCCCAAAGATTTCTCTTGCTTTCCTTTCCACTTTCAGGTCGTTCCGCAGCTAAGCTATCACTACGAAGCGCTAATAGCACCAGTTTAATCCCGGAGTTTGCCTTTAAAGTTTTCATCATTCGTTTTTTCCAGCAAATATTAATAGCACGTGACTTTTAACACCCATCTGTGGGCTGCAGTCTGTCGACCGCGTGGGACCTTACAGCCCATATTTGGAAACAAATATTGAGTTTCCTTTTGTTTTTCTTCCCATTTCATTCGATAAGTTTCTTCTGCATCATACAGTATGTTTTTCTTTTCAATTCGCTTGACAAGATTCCTAAAAATTTCACTGAAGTCCCACGCGGCGGCAGAACGTAAAACATGCGCAAAAAAAAAAACAAAAAAAACATAAAAAAGTAAAAACAAACAAAATAAAATTTGCGCGGTCTTCAACTCGGTAAATGGGTTTCTAGATAGATGGTGACATATGTATCCTTAATGACCTTTCAATTCAGATTCTTGACGCGACCAATACGACACGTGCCAGGCGCCGGACGATAATCGAGTACTGCCAGAACCGACGAACACTCATTGATCCACCTTTCCGATTGTTCTTTGTAGAAAGCGTCTGTGATGATCCAGCGATTATCAACTCAAATATTACTGTAAGTGAGATTATGTTAACAATGAACACTTCCTCGCCCTTAGATAGAACGGAGGTCCGAGAGGTGTCCCCAAGAGGCCCATCGCGCGGCGAAGGAAGAGACGCAGACGCGGCAAAGGACGAGTCGCAGCGCATACTGTAGCGGTTAGGCGTCAGGTTAAATGGAGTGTACCATACTACGTCTCATATCTCACCCGAGGTTCAAGGCAGGGATAGCCGAGTGGTTAAGAGGTTAGACTCATGTCTGCACCTCTGAAAAACCGCGAGTTCGATCCCTGCCGAGAAACCATGCCTTGCAAAAATTGCAAAAATGGTTCTAGTACCAGCGTCAGGCCCAGGTTGACAGGCCGGCTGATGAAGACCCCAGTCACACCAACTATGTCTAAAAGTTGCCAAAGTATCAGTGATAAAGCTGGGACGTCACAGCGGACCCCGCGACTGTGCGGGATTAACGACAGGGGGAAGAAGAAGTGGGATAAGAACGGAGTTCCATACAAGTGGATAAGGACACTTCAAGGTTTTCCAGTTATAAAAATTTTGAAGTCAACTTTGTGGTGTGGCCGCATTTTTCTGAATGGTCTTTTTCAGGAGGTGAAAATCAACTCACCCGACTACAAAGGGATAATGTCGCATGAGGATGCCAAGGAGGATTTCTTGAAACGAATAGAAAACTATAAACTACAGTATGAACCACTTGACCAGGAAGAAGACGAGGATTTGTCATTTATTAAGGTATTTCGATTTGTCCAATTTCATCTCTTTTGTCTAGTAATATTGCCACAATCTTATCAACCTAAATGATCGGATCCTTGTTCAAA